TATTTTATTTTTTTATTATCACACTGGCCGATTCCCACAAAGGCAGGGTGGCCCGAAAAAGAAAAACTTTCACCATCATTCACTCCATCACTGTCTTGCCAGAAGGGTGCTTTACACTACAGTTTTTAAACTGCAACATTAACACCCCTCCTTCAGAGTGCAGGCACAGTACTTCCCATCTCCAGGACTCAAGTCCGGCCTGCCGGTTTCCCTGAACCCCTTCATAAATGTTACTTTGCTCACACTCAAGTATTAAAAACCATTCGTCTCCATTCACTCCTATCAAACACGCTCACGCACGCCTGCTGGAAGTCCAAGCCCCTCGCACACAAAACCTCCTTTACCCCCTCCCTCCAACCTTTCCTAGGCCGACCCCTACCCCGCCTTCCTTCCACTACAGACTGATACACCCTTGAAGTCATTCTGTTTCGCTCCATTCTCTCTACATGTCCGAACCACCTCAACAACCCTTCCTCAGCCCTCTGAAGAACAGTTTTGGTAATCCCGCACCTCCTCCTAACTTCCAAACTACGAATTCTCTGCATTATATTCACACCACACATTGCCCTCAGACATGACATCTCCACTGACTCCAGCCTTCTCCTCGCTGCAACATTCATCACCCATGCTTCACACCCATATAAGAGCGTTGGTAAAACTATACTCTCATACATTCCCCTCTTTGCCTCCAAGGACAAAGTTCTTTGTCTCCACAGACTCCTAACTGCACCACTCACCCTTTTCCCCTCATCAATTCTATGATTCACCTCATTCTTCATAGACCCATCCGCTGCACTTCCACTTCCAAATATCTGAGTACATTCACCTCCTCCATACTCTCTCCCTCCAATCTGATATCCAAACTTTCATCACCTAATATTTTTGTTATCCTCATAACCTTACTCTTTCCTGTATTCACTTTTAATTTTTCCCTTCTTTGCACACCCAAACCAAATTCATCCACCAATCTCGGGCAACTTCTCTTCAGAATCTCCAAGAGCACAGTGCCCATCAGCAAAGAGCAACTGTGACAACTCCCACTTTATGTGTGATTCTCTATCTTTTAACTCCACGCCTCTTGTCAAGACCCTCGCATTTACTTCTCTTAAAACCCCCCATCTATAAAAAATATTAAACAACCAGGGTGACATCACACATCCTTGTCTAAGGCCTACTTTTACTGGAAAAAATTTTCCCCTCTTTCCTATGTCCCTCAAAACTTGAGCCTCACTATCCTCGTAAAAAACTCTTCACTGCTTTCAGTAACCTACCTCCTACACCATACCCCCTGCAACATCTGCACTTTTTGCCCCCCTATCCACCCTTTCATACCCCTTTTTCCCCAAATCCATAAATGCCACAAAGACCTCTTTAGCCTTATCTAAATACTGTTCACTTATATGTTTCACTGTAAAACACCTGGTCCACACACCCCCCTACCCTTCCTAAAGCCTCCTTGTTCACTGCTATCCTATTCTCCGTCTACTTTTAATTCTTTCAATAAAAACCCTCTACCATGCACTTTACCGGGTATACCAGCAGACTTATCCCCCTATAATTTTTGGGACTCTCTTTGTCCCCTTTTGCCTTTATACAAAGGAACTATGCATGCTCTCTGCCAATCCTAGGTACCTTACCCTCTTCCATAAAATTTATTAAATAATTGCACCAACCACTCCAAAACTATATCCCCACCTGCTTTTAACAATTCTATCTTATCCCATCAATCCTGGCTGCCTTACCCCCTTTTTATTTTACCTACTGCCTCACGAACTTTCCCCACACTCCAACTGGCTCTTCCTCACTCCTACAAGATGTTTTTCCTCCTTGCCCATACACGAAATCACAGCTTCCCTATCTTCATCAACATTTAACAATTCCTCAAAATATTCCCTCCATCTTCCCAATACCTCTAACTCCCATTTAATAACTCTCCTCTCCTATTTTTTTAAATGACAAATCCATTTGTTCTCTAGGTTTCCTTAACTTGTTAATCCACTCCAAAACTTTTTCTTATTTCCAAAAAAAATTGTTGATAACCCTCTCACCCACTCTCTCATTTGCTCTCTTTTTACATTGCTTCACCACTCCTTAACCTTCTTTTTTCTCCAAACTTTTTCCCTCCGTTCACTTCTATTTTGTAAAAACTTCTCATAGCAAATTTTTTCCCCCTTACTACCTTTTACATCATCATTCCACCATCGTCCTCTTCCCTCCCGCACCCCTTTCCTGTAACCACATACTTCTCAAACACTCTAACACTACTTTTTTAAAAACCAAACCCCATCCCTCTTCGACCCCATTCCTATCCTCATTAGCCCATCTATCCCCAATACTGTTTTTATTTTTTCCCCTAATTGCCTCCTTTTTTTATTTATAAACCCTTCACCTCTCTTTTCCCTATGCTTCTTTTCTCCTTGAAAATCCCTAAAACCTTTTACTCTCAGTGTAGCACAACAGAAAGTGATCTGAAACTGGGGGCCCCTCTAAAAACATTACATCCTGAAGTCTACCAACAGTTTTTATCTACCAATACATACCGACAAATACTGTTTTTTCGCCCACATCATATCTTTTATACTTATTTATCCTCTTTTTCTTAAAAAATGTATTACCTAAACAAAACCCCCTTTTCTATACAAATTTCAATCAAGGGCCCCATTATCTTTTACACCTGGCACCCCAAATTTCCCTACCACACCCCTCTAAAAAAATTTTTTCTCCTACTTTAGCTTCGGGCCCCCCTTACCACAATACTCTCTCACTTGGTTCAAAGGCCCTAACATTTACTTTAAAATCTCCCAAAATCTCCTCTCTCCTCTGCATTCCCCCTCTTCTCCAGGCATACACGCTTATTATGACCCACTTCTCGCATCCAACCTTTTCTTTAAACCCCAAATTCTTGCATTTACACTTCAATTCTCTTTTCTCCTTTCCCTAACTATCATTCAAAATTAAAATGCTACCCCCTTTTTTTGCTCAACTCTCTCAATACCCAGATTTTAAACCCATTTATTTCCCCCCCCCCGAAACTCCCCTACCCCCTTCAGCTTTGTTTCGCTTAGGGGCCCGGACATCCCAACTTCTTTTCATTTATAAAATCACAATCATCTGTTTTTCTTGTCATCTGCACTACCCACGCACATTCAAGCATCCCATTTTTTAAAAATTATCTCTTCTCTTTTTTAGTAAATGTCTACAGGGAAGGGGTTCGCCCTTGCTCCCGCATTTTAGTCGCCTCAACGACACGCATGGCTTACGGAGGAAGTTCTTTACCACTTCCCCATGGACAATAGAAGAAAAAAGGGGGAAACAAGAGCTTTGTAGAAAAAAAAAAAAAACCAGATTATGTATATATATATGCATGACCGTGAAGGGGGTGACCCAAATGTAAGTTGGAGAGAAGATATCCCGTTATTAGGGGGGGTTTTTTTTAAAAAAAAGAAAGAAAATTAAAAAAGAAAAAGTTAAAGGTTTTAAAATTGGCAGAGGGGTATTTCCCCGGTGGTTGCGTCAACCTCTAAAATTAATTTAAAAATTTTATTTTTTAAAAAAAAATTTTTAATATATATAAATAATATATAATAAATTTTTTTTTATATATATATTATATAATTATATATATATTTTATTAAAAATAAAAATTATTAATAAAATTTTATTATATTATTATATATTAAAATAAATATTAAATTACAAGCATGCCGAAATTAAAACTGGGCAATTAGCAAGAAATCATTTAAAATAAATCCTTTCTAAAATTTTCTTTCTTATACGTTTACGAATTTTCTTTCATTCATGTTTAAGTAAAAATTTTTAAATTTTTGCACAAGAATCTTAGAAAACTTACTAACGTTATTATAACAAGATCAAGTTTATTTTAGTTCAAACCAACTAAATATTTTGAATTGTTTACAAATTAATACGACAAAACAGTGTTTAGACTTAGTGATTTCTGACGTTTCTCAGAGGTTGTGTCGTGGAGACACTATTCAGCCCTAGTCCCAAGCTAAATCTTCTGACCTTATTTTTTTGTGGCATCTATGCACTGCTGTAGTCGGGGATTTGCTTATGCTGAACTTAGATTCAGTATAAAGTAAGTTTTATGCCTTTTACAGAGACTCGGCTGATGTTACCCAGTTAGGGTCGTTATTTTGTCTCCTTGTCTCTACCTGACTCTGTGCTACTGCTTTGTACATTGTTACTGTACATTTTTTGGTGTAAGTCAGTCAAACAGCTTCAAGGAAGCTGTTTGACTGACTTATTGGTCGAGAAGTTGGATTATTTGAGGCCCTTTTCTCAGTCACTGTTTAAGTCTAAGTCGAGTTGAGTCTTACTGAGATATAACGAGCACTTTCAGCACATACACACACTATCACACACATTTGTACATATATTTTTCACTTGAGTATAATTCGTCATACCTACGTACCAGATGGTACTTAAGATTTGTACAGATATGAAATGTGCCCTCAGCACAACACTACTCTATGTACAAGTCAAACATTGATAGTAATGTTTACTAGTTATACTCAAGAGAACTGTAAGAGCTTACATCCTAAATTATATAAAAAAATATTTACTTTGGTAATGTCCACCTAGACAACCTTGTTATTAAAAATCTCAGATTTTATTTAGTTAGTTTATATTCACTCAGTTATGATCCCAAAGCAATATTGAAATTTCTTAATTTAAATGGATAACTGGACTAATATATTCTCGGGTAAACTGTTACAAAACCAGAAACAGTCTAGATGCTAGACGGGGATCAATAACTTGACCTAGTATTCTTTAGAGATGTCTATACATTATGGATATCACATTTATATATATATATATATATATATATATATATAATATATATATATATATATATATATATATATATATAATATATATATATATATATATATATATATATATTTATATATTGTGCTTACTGAAAACAGTAACAGAAACGCGTAATATTAACCACTGTTTTTCTCTTTTGACAGACGACC